ATATAGGCTGTTTGTGTGCCACTATTTCGAAGATAAATCTTTTTGAGTTTCATGGAGCAATTCCAATTGGTTTTCTTAAAAATTACAATTGTATTCTGCGTAACCCAGACATAATCATGGATTGACGGGTGGCTGAGATGTGGCTTCACATTTTGCACTTCCGTTTTCGCCAAATAGTCAGATATTGGAGCAACCAGTTTGCTTTTAGTTCAAGGTCAAACTGCGTCAGCACGACATTTGCAGGTACATCTGTTAAGTCAACTTGTAACAATTCCGTCTTACGGGTACATGCTAAGGCTTGTAAAGTCTTAATATTTCTCTCCAAAAATTAAATTGAGTTTTGATGTAGGTATATGATCTCTTTATAATTGGATGAAATTGATAAATCACTACCTGCAAAGGTTGTGCCTTGAGGCACAGATTGAGCAGAAATACCGGTTGCAGTGGAATGCCATAGGTTTTTGGCAATCGTTGGTTTATCTTGTGCAAGAAGTTCACTACAAGGTCAGAAATTTATTTTCTTCGCGCGTGATGTTTTAATACTTTCTCAAAGTTCCCTTCGTAAACTTTTCCTTCCTCACTATAGCGGGTTGGCGCACAAATATGTGTTGATCGAATCCGCTAATCACATCGATGTCACCTTCTTTATGTAATCGGTCCTGTTGGAAACGACGAAGACAAGGGAGTCTGAATTGAACATTTCTGTTTTATGTAACGTTAATTCCAGGTGCTCGACACATGGGATTCCAATCCAGCGCCTTTGGTCAGTCAGTGCAAAACTGTACAATCGAACCTAGAATTCGCAGCTTCGTTGGTTCTGGTGGGGGTTGGAATTTTATAAATGTTTTTGTGAACATGGCAGCTCTATTTCAAATGCCCGCCAATCATGGTGCAATCATTTATGTCCGGTGGTACAATCTTGCGTACAGTTTACTTAAATATGTTTATGGAACACTGTCGAGAAATCCCTGTCAATGCTCACCTTCTCAATTTTTTCACTCTCAAAGGTTCTGCATTTTAAATTGAGAACAAAGTTAACATACGTATGGTTGTCTCCTAGGATTAGACCGTCACTTTGGAATTTGATAAAAGCACGCAGAACAGAAGCTCGTAGCTGAAATAAGTATGTGATGCAAATGATGCATTTCACGACATCACTTCGAAGACTGCAGATGCTCATAAGACGTTTTATTATTATTGCAGAGTCCTGAGAATAATCCTCCAATTCAGCTTCTCCATGTCAGTTCTACAATTTGTGCACCGGTGAAGGAAAAATATGTTAATACTAGCTCCGCTCTCAAATCCAAATCTGACCTAGTGATTATCGTCAAGACGGCAGTTTACAATTTCGAGGATCGTCAAAAATTTCGCACTCTTTACGCTCGAATCAACGATTTCAGTTTAC